GACCCAATAGGGTTAATGGTGAGCAGTGGCAGGTCCCAGACACAGCAGAAGAGCGTGGAGGCCTGAAGGTGCTGCCAAGCCACAAAATGGGTTGTTCTGTGAGCAGTGCAGGGTGGACCATGCTTTTCCACACCTGGAAGATGCCACGTATGCTTTCAGCCTACAGTGTGGACCCTTTTTTAGTATTCCCATAGGTTTCTTGACTTTATATATAGTTTCAAAAACTTTCTGAATGGCCTGGCCAGCGTAGCTCAGTGGTTGAGCATTGACCTATGAACAAGGAGGTCATGGTCCAATTCCCAGTGAGGGCACATGCCCAGGATGCAGGGCTCCATTTCCAGTGTGGCAATGATTCTCTCTCACCACTGAAGTTTTTATCTCTCTCCCTCTCCATTCCTCTCTGAAATCAATTAAAAATATACATTTTTTAAAAGCCATCTGTATATAAAAAAATTTACTAGTGCACATTTTAAACCATCTCTTCCTCTCACTTGATAATTTTAATTTTGTTCATTTTTTTAAACAGATACAAAAAGGAATAAAATTCACACCCTTTATTAGTGCTCTGGCATTGGTCATTGTTAAGCTGAAGCAATTGGCTAAGTGACCGCTAGAAATAATGTTAAAATTTCTTCGGTGGTAATTTCCTATAAATGCATACAAACAACTCTCCATCACATTCTATAAGTTTTATAGTTTTCCAAAAAAGCCAGACCCAAGAATAACAAGCGACCTGCCCAAGGTCTCAGAGGTGACGGGGACATTGCCAAGAGCTAGGCCACCAACCACTGACCCCAAACCCACTCCTTCCACACAGCACAAGAGAAAGAACCATGTGGGTGTCTTTCAGAGATCAGTGGAAGAACAACTCCCCAGCTAGGGACCATCAGGACCTTACGGCCATGTACGTTTTCATTCCCTTTCATGATCTTCCTGTGAAAAGGCCAAAATAAGTGCTGCGCTTTTACAGGGCTGTAAACTGGCTGTGGGAGAACAGCCTTGGAGTGAACCTGATATTGGGTGTGTGTATATGGTTCATGACTCTGCCTTTTAGTGCACATGAGTCACCCACAACCCAGCGAGGCTCCAACATAAACCATGTCCTCAGGCCTCACCCTCAGCCCCTGCCACAAGCTTATTCACACATGATGTGCTAGCCTGGCACCCAGAACTCCCAAATCATCTGTGAGTCAGAGCTCATTACACGGGATACTTCAGGGTTGCTATCCTAATATTTGGCCATTATTTCCTTAATTGAACCAAGGAAAGGAACCTGGGAAATGAGGGGGCCAAGCTGTTATTTATGCAGTAAAGGATATGAGGCAGGACCCAAGGCACCAAGAAGAAAACATTCTAAGTTTAGCTTTCCCTAGAGGAGGTCAACAGCTCTGGAGCCGGACTCCTGAGTGCCAAGCCCAACTCTGCCTCAGTATATGTGGGATCTCAGACATATTACCCCTTCCTCAGCTTCCTCATCAGTAAATGGAAGTAACATAGCATCCGCTTTGTAGGGCTTGTTCTTAGTAGAACAATAATACCTAGAATGTATATATAAATAAGTCCTATTATTATTTTGCCTGCAGAATACTTTGGCTTAAAACCATCTATGTCATAAATATATATGAAGTTAACCCATTAACCCATGGCAACAAAGACCACCATGAAAACCTGAATTTGAATAACTTTGTTAATTACAAGTTTACTCCATATTTGATATCTGGAGTTGGAAAACAAAATAAGTTAGACACTAGTAACCAATATAAACCTCAATGACATCTCCTGTGACTTAAAAAAAAAATACAATATTTAATCATTTATTTTTTCATGAAATTCTACCTTAGAACTATGTCCATGTATCTCTTCAACTTTGAGGTCCATGGGCCTATTTTTCTTCTTGCTAAAGTTCAAAATCTAATTTCTAACACAGGTTACCACTGTAATAAACTCTACAAGCTTTAAAATGACAGGTTGAAAGATACAATTTTTTAGAGTTATGAATTAATAGCCATATATGTCAAAGACTTTGAAAGTGCCAACTTTTTCATATTTATAGATATATTATTGAAATGATAAAAAATGAACTGCAGAAAGAGGAAAGAACTGAGAACCGCATATAATGAATCAAACATACTTAACAAGACATGTACAGACACTTTGGTGTGCATCTCTTTTATTACATTCCATTAATCAAATATTGCTAAAGACATCCATCTGAGCAAAGTGTCACAATGTTATTCTATAAAAACATTCTTTTGAAAAGAGTCCATCCTGACATCCATATCAACTATATTTGTCTTAAGTGATTGTCAGGCTCGCATTTCTCAGAAATTAAGACAATTTCTGTATGTGTCTCCTGCGCTCCCTCTCCCTCCACCCTCTTCCTCCCACCCCACTCCCACCAAGCTGTTTTAAAAAAAAAACTTTAGTTGGAGAAAATGCACAAACTCCAATAATGAATCAGAAAAATCTGTGTGTAAATTATTTAAATTTCTGAAAGCATGCATGATATCAATTCTAGATTTTAAGTTTTCACAAATTAGAACAGAAAATTCTCGCTATTTAGCAAAATAATTAATCTGTCCTTAAGGGGATTTTTTTTTTCCTAATGTGACATAGACCTGATGGTTGTACCTAGTTATGATGACCTATGTTTTCATTTTTAGGCTGTTAAACTACCTAAGTGTTGCAATTTTTATATGTAATCATTTATAATGTGCAGTTGGATTTCTATTAGAGTGCTTTTCATGGAACACTAAATCTATCACTTAATATTCTACTTAATATTGGGAGAAACACACATAAGAGCAAACAGATGAGGAATATGAGGGATATCTCATGATCAGTTGCCATCAGACTATGCAAAAATCATAGTATATTCTTAAGTTCCTTCTGCTATAGGCAGATATTTCAGAAAATATAACAATGATGTACTTAAAAACACACCCTATTTTTTCTTTAAAATAACCCATGTTATTCAACTAATACATCCAGATAATATTTATAGTTCTCTACACCTATGGCTTGGTTTTCCCATACTTAAGCTGAATCTTCAAACAATTTCGGTGCCTTTTTTTTTTAACCTGAGAAAAGAAACTTCAAAAAAACTTTAGGGCTAGAAGATTATCTTAGTTACTATGCAATTGAACAACCAAAATCTAAAAACTGGAAACTAGTAGCTGAATGCGAGACTGATTTTAATATCTTTATTTTTAAAGACAAAGTAAATACAAAATTGATGACAGGTAGAAAGAGGATCAATGTGTCCACGAACTGCTTAGTCAACCATCTATGAAAAGCATTTGGAAAAAGAACAAATTAGGCCAATTGTACCTTTGCCTTCATATAGATTCAATTTTCTCTTTCAGTTTGAGAAGAAAGTTTTTAGTACTTGTATAAACCCTTTCCCCCTTAAAAAATTCCAACTAACATATAAGCAAGTATTATTCAGTTTGACATAATATAGCTAGAAACTTCTCTTCTAAACTTACAGTAACTACATAGAAAAATAATCCAGTGTGGACATGATGATTTTTAAGACTGTATTGAAGCCACCTCCAAAATCTGGTTCTCTTACTGTAAGACATCTAGAAGGCCAGTTCTTTTCTTCTGGTCCTTGGCACACTCAGAGTGACCAGCCTGACTCATTGCTGTCACCCCGACACAAACCTAATAAAGTCTATTTTTAACTAATCGCCATTAACCATGATCTGCTAGAGGATTTCTTGCTTGAATGTAAAAGAACAATAACCTGATTTAATTATTTTCTCAAAAATCACTTTCATCATTTTGTCCAGGGGACCAATTCCCAAAATCAAAGCAATTTCTCCCTTCCGATTTTATGTTGTAAAGCTAGATTTATTTTACTCTTAACTTTTAAACTTTTTAAAAACAACTTGTCGTATGATTGCACCGGTGTTCTGGATGTCAGAACATGATTTTATTTGATTTTTTTTAGACTAAAAATTAACTTTATCAAGAAAGTTGACCAATATCCCTTAAATATCCTGGAAAAGCATGGAAGGCTTGGATTTCAAACAAATATAAAGTGTGTTTATGATTTGGATTTTAACCAGGGTAAGAAGTATGTATCTGGCTATTGAGTCCGATGACTACAATCTATTCATCTGTTCTGTGAAAGATGAATGCAAGGAACAATTTAAGTGTTTTTCTCTCATCCTGACCACAGTTCTACAAGGTAACTACATGGCTCTTATTTGACCAGTGAGGAAACGGAGGCTTCGAGAACGGAGTGACTTGCCCAAGGTCACAGTGGCAAAGTCGGTAGACCCCAGGTCAAATGAAATCTAGGCCTTTACAGCTTCTAAGCCGCGTTCCTGGGAGTCTGCGGACTGCTGGGCTGAGTGCACTCAGTCAGTTCTCTTCCATAATGACTTATTAGAAGCAGCCAGGGCTCAGGGAGGTTCTTCTGTAAAAGAAAGTTTGAAAGAGCCCCACAGGGTTGGCCCAAGGAAGCTGTCAGCATTCAGGGAAAGCTCACAACCAGGCAGACACCGTATGAGGAGATCTCCTAAGAGGTCTTTTGCCAAGTGTTTGGACATAACAATCATAGGAAATTTTTAAAAGCCAGGGAACTACTTGCCTGTGTGAATCCACCTCTGTTTTTCACTTTTTAGTAATCTAACAAGATTTCAAAAAAAAAAAAAGTACCAAGTAGAAAAATATAATTTAAAACAGAGACCATCAACTAGCAGCCTGTGGCCTGAAATCTTGTTTCAACCACACAAAAGTTTATATATTCTTTTTAATTTAGTTTCAATGCTTTAAAAATGGGATCTTTTTTTTTTTTCCAAAAATTCCAGATTTCTGGCTCCCCTTAAGAATTTGGGAAATCTGGCCACCCGGTACCCATAGTCTAGCAATTGGCTAGAGCAAAATGTGTGTCACTCAAGTTTAGAAAGGCCACATACTGTCCAGCTTGACATTACTTCCTTCCTCCCCACCCACATTTCAATATGTTCAATTATGTTACTCACTTGGAACCTATGTGCGTTTTCGAGAGTAGCGCGCTGGCCCAAAGCCTTTGTGGGATCCTTAGAGAGCTGGTCCAGACTCAACTCTGCACAGACTCCTTGCCCAGCTTTTCTTGCTTAAGTACCAACAGCTCTCCATAAAGTTGGGGAAAGCTGATGAAAAAGAAAGAAGTGGGCTTCAACAGGAAGGAAAAGCCTGGCTCTCGGTAACTCATGCTTCTTTTTAAACAAGATGAGCTGCCATTGCTCTCCCAGTCCCAACCTTCCAGGGTAGAGTCTGCAGCTACGAAGGTTGGTTTGCATCCAAAACAGGGAAGACTTTCTCAGCAGGCACCATCTCTCCCAGTAGGAGCAGCAGGCAGGTAAAGTAACCTGCCAATTCTCAATGCCTCTCTGGAGCTGCTGAAGGAAGACCTGGGGGTACAATACGCAACAAATGGGGAGAAAGTCGATTCAGAATGAGATCCCCTGGTTGTGTTCCTCCTCTTTTCTCTGTTTGCATCCTGATAGCCCCCCATGACTTTCTCACTCATCCAGGATTTTGAAACAGAGCAAACACTCAGGAACAATTGGCAGGTGATTTCAAGTCATTACCTGCCTGCCACGCTAATTACAAGCCATTACCTGCCAGCAGCATGCAGGTTTGTACAGTTTGTGAGACACGGGGAGGGTCTACTTAACTAGAAGGATCATTTATCTCCGACTAAATAATGCCAGCATTGGCAGCCCTGTGCCTACCGACCAGTGCTACGCAATGTTCAGCTGGCACTCATTCTGTAAGGAGCATCCTTGAAGATGCGCTCACAGCATGCTGCCTGCAGAAGGCCAGGAGGACATCCATAGTTTTCTGGCATGGATCACTATTTGCCTCAAATTTCACACTGGTGTGTATTAAAGGGGGAAAACACAAATCTCATTTTGCAGTTTTCCTACTCTAACGACTCTTTGAAAACATACAAAATACAGAGGGGATAAAACCCTACCACTTTAAAAGGGCATTTTATAATAAATATGGTTTTAGATTGCCACCTGTTATTAACGATCAATAAGATAAAGTTCCATTACAATCTTAATTTCCACTTGCAGGATGGATATTGCTAATGCGTGTAAATTATGCACGCCTCTATTAAATGAAGGTCCATCAAAAATTGTCATTTCTAATCCATACTGTGTAAAAATTGTGACACAATGGATAATTAAAAATTTTAATGCTTTCCAGTTACTTTTTAAATTATAAGGAGCCCAGTTCTGCTGCTGTTTTAAGTTTCATTTTATTGTATTCTCCAATCTCAGCATAAGGAACACAGGAATTTACTAGCTTTTAATTGCTGTAGTCAAAACCCCATTATTTTACTCTTCTGTATCTTGGCAATGAACACAAGACACACCAGGTATGTCACACATTATATTTTGACTGAACTTTGAGGATAATTTACAGGATTTTTCCAAAAATGACACTTCCCTTTTATTCAGCAGCTTGAACATAAAGACAGAACACTCTTCTGACTGCAAATACAGCAATTATACCAAGTTATGCTTTGACACTGTTACCACAGGCAAGTGGCCAAAGAGCATCCGCAGTCAAAATATCTAAGCAAGTTAACAAGCTCCCTTTACTCTCCACAGAGCGGGAGAAGAAAGGGAATCCAACCCCTGAGAGATGTTAAAATGAAGGAGACAAAAGCTGTTGGTGTTTGTTAAAGAAAATGGTGTCAGTGTCTTGGGCTGATCAAGGTGTAGAATCTGAGGCCCTGACAGATGCCCAGGACTGCTTTTGACAGGAAGCCTTTTTCCAGGTCAGATCCGCTTGATGATTTCAACTAATGAATGACCGGCCTGCAAGCCCTTGCATTGGAACTACACCTTGCTTTCATGGGGTGGTCGTACTGGTCTGCCCTTCCTCTCACCTCCCCGCTCCCCCATCCTTTGCAAGACTGCATTTTGCCTCCTCTTTTTTTTTCCAGCTCCATTTTATAAAATATCCCCACGTTTACCACACAAAAGACATTGAAACTAATTAAGTAAACTCCAAAGAACTATTACAAATCATTTTGCTTCAGCCAGAGATATCAGATTTAATTAGGTGATCGGTGTTGATGGGGGGACAAAAACAAAAGCTATCTCCTGTTTGAAAAGGTTCAGGCCCTATAGAGACCCAGTCTTCCCACTATGACACAAATAATAATTGAGCATTTCTTTTTTTAAAAGAAGAAGGAGACAGGCATGAAAAGCGTTTTCTGTGAGAGACAAAAGCTTTCATCGGAGGTTTGTTTTCTCTTTTTGCCAGGTGATTTAAAAAAAAAAAAAAGCACACCATTTACAAAGAAATAGCTATAACCAACATTGCTATCACCATGACACAGAATATAAAGTGCTCCTAACGAGCATAATTTTTACAAGTGATTAATCAAAATCTATTTAGCCAGTCATCTCCAATGATTATCAACAGACTTGCTTAATAGTTCAACGAAAATAGTTTTTTTTCCCCATGATACCTGTCACATAGCAGCTTTTCTTTGGTGTGTAGTTAAAGTTCATATACTAGTTAAATTATCAAAATTTTAGTGAGGTAGATTTCTTCTTCATAAGGAAAGTGAAAGAAAAACTGCTGGCCCCACTTCAAGCGTGCTATTTTGATATATTGGCAATAAATAACATAGGATAGGATAATTATTTTTGAATCAATCTTTATCATGAATAAGTTGTCAAACTCTGATGCACAGATATGTTGGATCTTAAAAGATTATATCTTTGCAAAGGAAGGTAGTTTAGTTTTACTACAATATTTATTGAATTAGAAGTTCAAAATGAGATGCTTTTTTTAAACTTTTATTCTACAGACATATGACAGCCAGACTTCTTTTGACAGTGGAAATCCATGTCATTATTGTCTTCTTAACTCTTACCCTTATACACATGCGCACACAAACACACACGTAGAGAGATTATGAAGAAAATCAAATACATATTGGTTTCCACATGATCAACAGTGGGTCTCTCTCGTTTCTAACTGATATTTATGGTGTGAAGCAGGTCTGAATAATGGCTCTTTTATATGCTGTTGTTAAACAATTTTCCTGGAATTTTTGTCCAACAAATGCACATAACTTCATGTGATGGAAGAGCCTTAACGCTAGTCTGAAGCAGTCATACAACCTACGCAAAAGGCCAATGCAATCAATATTTCCCGAGTTTAAGTACACCTCAAAAATCCTTTCTTCAGCTCCTAAAATGTTGAAAGGAAAATAATTTTCTCCGTTGGCATTTAAATGGTATCATTCCGTGTGGAGAGAGTTACTGAGACATTTGTTGGAAGTCAACAAAAATAATTTGGACATATTTTGAACTTATTTTATCTGACTCCTCGACATTTAATTTGGTGTGAAAAACGGCAACGGTAGAAAACAGATGTTAAGGGGCCAAGTATACAGCAGAGGTCAAAACAAACATAAAACACCGCTTCCATTTCTAAAAGAGGGGGGGCAAAAATGATTCCTCCAGCAACAGGTTCGATGGGAAACCTGCTTTTTTATTGTTCTGCTTGGGATATCTGTAGACTGCACAATGCAATGCTGTCTGCCGTGGAGCAGTACCTCTCAGCACTGGTAATTTAAGACTTTCTTCTCTGTAATACACTGAACCATCATAACCTGTCTCTTCCCATTTAGTTTAACCTACAACCACCACATACTGATTTGGCTGTGTGTGGCTTTTTCTATTGCCATTTATTACTCTGCTCGACTCCTGAAATTCTGTTTGCAATTTAAGGCCACAAATTAGAAGCGTAAGTCATCTGTTTCCTATAATCCCCCTGTCAGGACTGGAATCGCATTTGGAGCTCAGCACTGAGTCTGGGCCCGGGCCCTTACAGACATTCTGATTGGCTGGCCTCGCTAAAAGCTGCAACAGAATAAATAAAATGCTCTGGAAAAATAGAGCTTTTGATCAAAATAATAAAAAAAAAGAGAAGGAAAAGAGAAAGAAAAGAAACTGGGTTGCAAATATTTTCCTCTCCCTTTCATAATAATCAGATCAGTTGGTACAATGGTAGGTTGGTTCTGTTTTCTCCAATAAATAACAGAGCTGAATATTACTCCTTTAAGAGCAAAATGCTAAGTATTGAAGATTCCATTTGGGAGAAGAGTGTAATCCTGCTTCAATCCGCTATTTATTTTTTTTGCTGCATATGGAATATCTCTTCTAAGTCCTGCCCTGTTTCTGACAAAATACAGTTTTTATATTGCAGATGTAGTAATTAGCCAGGTATTTTTTAATAGTGTCATAGATCTTTTGCTAAGCTAAAAATATGTGAAGTCCTAACCCATTACCAGGCTTACCCTTTTACAATATTTTGGCAAATGTTACTTAGTATCCCTGGATTTTATAGAGTGCTTCAATTTATCTTTCTAAAAGACATCTGTCCTTTAAATAGTGTAAGAATTTCAAAAATTTGAGAATATGACTGTTTCTTCTTTCCTTCAGCTCATGTTAATAGATCTCCTACCAACCCTGCTGGGCTTTAGGGACTTTTAGCATTTCCTAGTTTAAAGTATTTCTATTTTCTTTCCATTTTACTTAAATGCACAGCATATCAGATTATATAGTAAAAACTGCAAAATAAAAAAAAATAGAGAAATACAGAATAGCCACATCTTAAAAACATATTCTGAGTTCTCAGTGCAATTTTGAACTGCCATTGGGCTTTAAGAAATCATCATTCATTAACAAGAATAAAATCCAACAGAGAGATTCATGTTTATTAATATACTAGCTATACCTGGGCCATAAAGGTTGGAAATAAATGGATCAACATTAGCTGAATGCCCCCAAAGTAGAGTTGTTCTTTCAAAAGGAAACAAAGTTCATGGGGAAAATTATATATTTAATGCAAGCTAAATTTTAGCCAAAAATTAAAATTAAGTTTAAAATATTAGCAATTTTTAGAGACAATTTTAAGAAAGACAGAGGAATTTTTAAGAAAAACAAGAGTCATAATAAACCATTTGAAAGTTCCATGATTATTTACAATAGCACTTCTGGAAATGTTTTGTGCTCCTGTAACTTCAATTTGATCTCTACATTTTTTCACATCCATCTTTGCAGGGTGTTAGTCTATAGTGTGGCCTGTGATTTCTGGTTATTTAAAAGAAACAAAGGAGGAAAACTCGCCAAGACGTCGAGGTTTCAAAAAAAAAGAAAGAAACAAACAAATAGCTACTGTACATGCGCACTCTGATTATTTTCTAGGTTTTTTTTTTTCAACCATACTTTCTGTGTTGCAGATTTATTTAATAAACAAATGCATCTTCTGGGCCCATAATACACAAATGCATGCTACTGTTAATTCATTTACAGAATGCGCCGTGATAGCCCTAAGCAAAAGAGCAATCTTGTTATAATGAATGTGTACTATTCTTAATAAGCACACTGTAGCAACGACCCGCACTGCACACAAAAGCACACCCAAACCATTTGGTTTGTTCCCAGAGCTCGGACACCAGTCCCACTATTAAATAGCTGTGCGCTGGGAGAGCAATCCAGTATTGGCATGCAAATGAGCGCACGGAGAGGCCAGATGCTGCTTTTTAGAAAGGAAAAGTGCCTCAGCTCAAATTTGGGGGGAGAGAGAACCAGTGAATGTTACCAGTGCAGGGCAGCTTCGAGATTGTGTTCCTTTATATTACTGACAGGGGTAGAACTACTGGTGGGATGAACCTAGGAAAGATGAATAGAAAACAGAACTTTGCCAACACGTGAACATTCATGAGCTCCATATTTCCATAGGTCCGCTGGAGATTGCCCACCACGTTTTTTTGTTTATTTTGTTACACACACACACACACACACACACACACACAACTGTATTTTTTATTGTTGACACTATCACAGATGTTTAATATGTCTGTATGTGTTTTTTAAGGGGGTATTATTTTTTTTCAGGTCCAAAAGGATGTCTCTTGTGTTGAAAATTTAAGAAATGTTATCTCTCCTTTTTAAAATGAAGCTATCATATTCATAGGAGTTCAATGATTCTCAAAAGCTCTGTCATTTCAAAAAATATATATTAGGTTATTGAAAAGAATGCGGATTTTTCTTTTCAAACCAGCTCATCAAGCATGATATTCATCTGTGTTTGTGAGCTTTCGTAATTTGTGGTGGACAATTGACCCATTAGTCGCTGCCTTTATCTTATCATAACATTTGACTGCCTTGAGGATAGAGTAGGAGGGGAAGCCAGTACCCGAGAGAATGAACCTGGACTTGCAACAACTTTGGTAGATTGTGTTCCAATCAGAATCAGGACACTGTTTTTCCTCTTGACTCATATTTCATTTTCCTTTCTTCTCAATGTTTAGGGAGTCATTGATTTATTTGATTTCTTGTAGATAGTTGGAGATGATAAGGATTGAAGTCGTGGGTATGTGTTTTGAGAAAAGGACTAATGAAAAGGAAGCAGAAACACCCATACATAGTAAAATTCACAAGGGGAGATAGCCAGATTTCTGTGACACAGCTAATTAAAATATATAAGTTTAATATGTCCCCTTTATAGTAATGGCATTTGGGGACAGAACCTTCCTCTACCCAGCTTATTAATCATGTAACAAGAGAACTTACCATATATCTTATTTCTCTGAACATTTATCTGAATACGTACTATTGCCTTGATACTGCTCAAAGCTCTAAGAAGAGTTGTTAATCACAGGGAATAAAAAGTCTCATGGTATTGGCCAAATCTACACATTAAACCTCCTGGTCATGGGTTATTAATTATAAACCCACAATAAATAAATCTTCTTTGCAGAAATACTGACTTTAGTAAAAATAGAAATGGATATAAATATATGTGGTGGACTTATTTCAAATTATTTTTCTTAGTTGATCATAGCAGTATCTTTAAATGTCTTTGCAGCCTTTTCCCATCAGCCCATTGGTTCATAAACTATATTTATACACTTAATAGAAATTTATTTGAACACTCTGTTAGTTTCCAAAGACTATCTACATAACAAAGGATCATAAATCAAGTGTCTTAAAACAATAGACAGTTGTCCTGTTACAGTTCTGGAGGCTAGAAATTCAAAACCAATGTGTTTGCAGGTCCATGCTCCCTCTGAAACTTCTCAAGGAGGGTGTGTCCCTGTCTCTTCCAGCTTCTGATAGCCCCAGGCATTCCTTGGCATATGGCAGCCAACTCCAATCTCTGCTTCTGTCTTCACATGGCCTTCCTTCCTCTGTCTGTGTCTGTGTTTCTTCTACTCTTTTTAACAACATCAGTCATATTACATTGGGGCCCACCTTAATTCAGTAAGACCTCATTTTATCCTGATTACATCTGCAAAGACACTATTTCCAAGTAAAGTAATTTCCACACACACTAGGAGTTAGCAGTTCAACATCTTTTGATGGGGAAAGAATTCAAACCATTGTAAGTACTTACTGAATACCAGGCACTTGCATTGGGGAATTTTATCAATGGCGATAAGATCCTATAAAAGCTGTTGTGGAATTCATTATAAGAATGTTATTAAAGACATATTTACTTCATCATATAGAGTTCTCCCTAAGAGAACTTGGGAGAGTATGTTCTCAGGACTCGGCGTGAGGAATCATTGAGTTTTTTCCAATTGTCTTTGTTAATATTAGATGCTATTAGTCTCATAACTGATCTTATTTTTGTCTTTGAATTGGCTGCTAGTATTTTCAGAATCTAATTTGGACCAATCACAAATAAGTATACAATAACTACATAAATGTATTTTATATAATAAACTTTGCTCATTTCTATCTTATTTTTCTACATTTTATTTCTTTTTGCCATTTTCATGTTTTTATCTTGACAATGCATTATTGGAAATGGCATTTAATGACTAATTCTGGGGCAAAGCAAGTCACAAATAAATACATTTTTAATTAATTGAGATAAACTCAAATTAGATTTCCCTAGACCAAAAATAATTTTAAAAATAAAATATATCATGAAAAAGAATATTTTACAAATATTAACCTATTTGGTCTCAACAAGTAGGAATAATCAAAGGTTAATGGTATGACATAGGACATTTATTTATAAGATAGGTTGAGTCCTCATGTAGTACTAAAGTCTGAGAGAAATCTTTGAAGCAATAAAGTTTCTGAAAACTTCTGTATGCCCTATAATAAATTAAAATAAAACAACTAATTAACATGATAATTTGCTTCAGATAACTGAAAGCTATCAAATAGCAGAAGGAACAGACATTATCTTCTCAGAGACAAGATTAGTATCAATCACTATAGTGTATTGCAAGGCAGAGTGTGAAGAACCAATAACCCGAGATGACCAACACTGGGAAAAGGATATCCCAGTCTTAACTTTCCATTATTAGAAATGTTCAAGCAATGACATACCATGAGTCAGGGATCTGAAATAATTAATCTAAGCATTTATTAAGAAGTTGACTCAGAGAGCTACATTTCCTTCCATCCAACTCCAAAATCTTAAGATAAATGATTTATTTAAAAAATATAGCCATTGTTTTAATATCATTGGTTACATTTAAACAGTTCCAAATTTATAATTTCACATTTAGAAAAGAGTTGGACATAGTCATTTGTTCTATCCAGGCACCAATTGTACACCAAAACTTTCTTTCTACAATCTTACTGAATAGCACAGCCACAAAACCTAGAATTTGGGTCAACAGGCCATATTTCAACTTAGTAATTTTTTTAAAAATTAGCAAGAGAAAATTATTTGTTCAATAACATGTAGCAAGTCTAGAGCATACCAGAACTAAAAGTTACCACTCCTGATTCCAAAGAATCAGAAAATAATGACAATCATTACTCAACCACTCAATTCGAGCCGCATTGGCTTCTCCTTATGTAATTCTTAGACACCTAGTTTCTGAATCCAGTCACTAAAAGGCATAGGATGATCCTGTGGCTCTTCAAGTGACAATTGTGAATGTGTTTCAGAGTTTCATCACTTTCAGACCACATCCATGCACGTTGGTCATTGTCAGGACTAAACTTTTTTCCCCATGCACACATCGGTGAGCCAGATTTCCTTACGGCAGGAAGGCAGGACTTACCCGGTCATCTCCCTGTAAACATATCTACTGTGCTGTGCTGCCCTTTGATTCCTGGGTTTTCTTACACAGGGACGTGCACTCGGTTTGGTAGACAACATCATTACTCCTTCCTCCCTTTCCCTGATGGATGACAGACTATTGCAACAAACACTGAGCAGTCCCTCCCTGTGATTTCTGGCTTTCCCAGTGACATGCTCTGTAACCTCACCCAAGCCACTCACCCTTCCTATGAACACGGCCCTTCCGTGGCGAACTGGAGGTCATTGGTTTCACCAGATCCCAGTCAGGAATCACTGAAGTCTGCACTTGAAAGTACGTATAGACAAGGGAAGTATTATCATTATTATTGTTGTTATTTATGACTAATACAGCTGCAGAACTTGGAGATTTACGATCTCCCCGTGGATTTTACTGTGGCCTCCAGAACCTGAGATTTAATTTTAAAAGAATTAAATTTCCAGTCTGCTTTTACAGGGGTGACTGTGAGTACGGATGCTGACAGACTGTTGTCTTCAGAGGCAAAAGCCAGACACACAAAGACAATGCCACAGCTCGAACAGGGGGTGACCCTTTCCCATTCATCTTAATGGAGTGTTAAACTTGAAGCCTAATTAGGTCCACTTAAATGCCAACATTATTATACTTTTCTCTGCTTATCTTCATACCAGAAACAATCAACTAATGCACTCATTTAATCTGAGTGCGTGCAGCGATCACATCCAGACACCCTGTCATTTTGATAGCCTGCTTTGCAGTCATAAAAGTACAACTTTTAAACTTGCACTTTGGTTGTTTTTAATTATCCACATAATTAGATTACTTTCTATTACCTTGAAATTTTAGAGGTGAGGCTGCATACACATCCGTATGACGTTTGTCAGGCAGTGGGGCCTGATCACCATTCCCACAAGAAACTGGTATCGGACTTGCTCCCAGGATAACAGACTAAGATGTGTTAAATGAAAGATCCCATTCCTGCCCTTCAGAGAAGGTCAGCTTTAGAGTTTATACATTGCGTCTGTGCCCGAGCTTCCCACATTCCCCTTCTGATTCATTGTTGCGGCCTGGACTCCATTTTAATTTTTAATTCCTACAACAAACCTTGGGAGAAACAGAATTTAAAATATATAAATCCACACTTGCCTACTTTGTACCAAGGGAATCCAGATCTAGGCGCTCAATTAAAAGCCCTTGACAACCTTATAAAATATCTCGTAAAACTGTATTTATTTACTCACAGCTATAAGGAGGTTAGTCTGTTTCTCTTTAATGGTCTCTGTGCCAAAATGGCATACAAGAACATTTTTGGAAGTTCATCGTCCAGGGTATGGATAAAGACATTGGTGGATATCTTCAAGATGGGACAGATTTCCCACGCCTCCGCCTACACTCCCTTCCGCTGACGGCCGTACCTCCTGTCCCCCACAGCTGAATGTCAAAGAACACGATGCATGCAGGAACCTTTTCCAAAAGTGTCTGTGATCCATGCTGATAGTACACACCTTGGTTTTCTGACCCTTCCTAGACAAACAGAAGATGGTATTTCTTAGCCCCTTTTGCAATTGGATGGGACTATGAATAATCCTGGCCGATAGAGCGGGACATGGAAGGAGGTCACTTTGGGGGGGAAAAATACTTGACAGCCACTGCCCACTCCCCAATGCTTTCTTTCTCAACTTAGACAAACCCGGAAGCTTCATGTTGAGGTAAAGGTGCCATGAGATAGACGTAGCCTGATATGCTTGGTTCTCACATGGAGAGGCCCTGGGCCAGCAGAAGGCTCACATGACTGAAAATAATACCCTTTTGGTTAACCATTAAGATTTTGATATTATTTGTTGCTTCAATATTGCCTAGTCTTTCTGATCTAAAACAATGTCTCAGAATTAATTTCTAAGCCTAACCTCACTAGATGGATATCATATATAACTGTCATCATTGCCTTCTTCCAGCATCAAGTACAAGCGAGTGATCGAATGAAGATGCAAAAGTCACTCCAAACAGTCCACCGAGCTCTGATTTCACTCCTCATTGTTGCCTCCCTTGTGTCTTCTACTTTGATCTTGAAAGAAGTAAACTAAGTCACATCACAAGCTGCTCTTTTCCACCAAGAAAGAGACTTGGAAGACAATGGTTGTGCACAATGCTCAGAGCATTTTCTGAGACAGAGAATTAATATCCAAAGGCAGGCCAGAGTCAGAGGGTTGGGAGAAAAAAAACTCCCGTGGATAAAACCCTAAATTTCAGGTGTGTATTACCCAAAGAGGCACCAGGGCCAATGCCCATTAGCTAACTATAAAATGAGAAACTATCCAGAGGGCTATTAAAGAGAATAGAAAAAAACAAAAGGCATCATAATCTTTAAAAAGGAGGCTTATGTGAATAAAAACATCAAATTATATCTGAATTGAGCTAGGCAGTATTTTGACTGAGCCTTTTAGATGGCACTTGCAAACATCTAAACTTTGAAAACAGTTGCTCTGACCACTTTGCAAGGCAAAAAAACCTGATTTTTACTTTGACAGGAATATGTTTAATGTGTTTACATTAAATCGGGTCACATGGTTTCTGACTTCAGAAGGAGTTTGTTTCCCACTTACACACTCAGTTAAGAAAATTCCCTAGATGATACATGGATACTAATGAGCTCCAGCAGGGACTTAAGGAGGAAAATGAGCCTTAGGGAGCCTTGGTAAGAAGGGAGGAAAGTGTGAGATGGAGAGAAAGGGGGAAGCGACCACTGGTGAACGGGCAGGCCACATGGTCAGGAGCCCTGTGAGTTGTCTAAGTAAGGATCCGCTTGGTTGCTACAGAAGATTGCAAGCCAGGAAGACCATGTGCGTAGTGGAAGGCACACTCACATTAGAGTCAATTGGCGCTGGGAAAACAATTCCCCAATTACCACCTCTGACCTTCAGCATGTCGGTCTCCCCATCAGCAAAACAGTGATAAACATACCTACACCATAGCGCTAGTGTGGGGAGGAAGTTTTGGAAAAGACCATGCATGTAACGTTCCTAATACACTGACCACACAGAGTAGGTTTGCAGTTAACATGAACTCCTACTAGATTTGCATGCTATGTGAATTTCACTTGGTAATAAAAACCATATGTACGCAGCAACTGGGGGGAAGAGTGGTACAGGCGAGTGCCCTCAATGATTGGGTTTCCCTCGTGAGCAGGGAGACACAATGCTGACATTTCTTCAGCGGAGCTCAAGTCCTAACTGACTGAGATAGTGTGAGTATTTCCCAGGGGCATATACATGATGAAATGGAATTTTTAGGATAATTTTCACCTAAAATTTCATTTGGAATTTTACCCCTCAACACTACATAAGGTGCAACTCTGCTGTTATAATACAGTAAGGAATCCTTGTGCTGCAGTTTGTGAAGGAACACTCACGGTTTTGCTAAGCACACCTTTTATATGTTCCCTCCTCCACCGTGAAAAGTAACATGGTGTTGCAAAGACTACAGCACTGGGGCCAGCAGACCTGGGTTCAAATTTTAGCTTCTCCATTTGCTAGTTCTGACATAAAAGCAAGTCCTGAACATCTTTGAACTTCCATTTCCCCATCAATAAGTTGGGGTAACTCAGAGGAATGTAGTGAAGAGTGATGTGCCTAGCATAATGCAAGCAAAAATATGAACTCTCTCCCAAGCCCCCAAACCCCTACAATTTTAATAAGAGTTATCAGAACATTCTGTTATTTGTGTGCAACTCTCTCTCACTGGATTATAAGTTTCTCCAAAGCAATAGCTAGGTTATTTTGTACTTTGTAATCCACATATTTGGAAGAGAGAGTTAGGAATTTGGCTATGGAAGAAGAAATCAAAAGTGATCATTGTTGAGCACAAATGAAATAAAGAAAACTATATTATTCCTCCCCTTGTTATCCTTTCCAACCCCAACAGGAACTGAAGAAGTCATCTGTAAGCATTGTCTCAGCTCACTCACCTCAAGTCCTCTCCTCTGTGCACTCCAAAACACATCCATTTCCATCATTTTGATACTGCTTTGGCCAAAGTTAGCACTGACCTCCACGTTGTCAAATCCAGTACTCTCTATTCTCTTACTCAACCTATCAGCACCCTTTAGTATAGTTGACTACTGTCTTTTTCTTAAAATTCTTTCTTCTCTTGGCTTCTATGACAGCATGCTCTCATGGCTTTCCTCTGTTCAGTCGCCTTGGCTAACTCTTTCTGTTAATGGACTTCTAAACTTTGCAGTGCCAATTCATTCCTGGCCCTCTGCTCTATTTACACCTCTTCACTAGTGAGCCCTTCCATTTATTTATTGGGTAGGGAGTATCATTCTTTATCTCTAGCCCTTACCATTCCTCAGAAATCCAAACTCATCTAACCAACTGTTACTTGAGGTCTCCAGTTGTATGCCAAATAAATCAAAATTCACACGCCTAAAAGAGAATTTTAGATTCCCTCCCCTCACCCCAACTGACTCCTGCCTCAGGGTTCTTCATCTTGATAAGCAGCACTATTCTCCTTCGGAGATCAAGACAATAACCTAGCACAGGGCTTCTCAAGCTTTAATGTGTACATGAATCACAGGGGAGCAGGGAGGTCTTCTAATTCAGTTGGTCTGACTTAACGCATATGATTATGCACTTATAACAAGTTCCAAATGATGTGATACTGCTGGTTCTCAAATGACATTATTGAATAGCAAGGATTTTGGAGATCGGTGCCTCTGTTTCCCTAAAGCACATCCACAAATACATACTTTTAAAAAATCAGCAATGTTTCATCAACTACCTTTCTCCAGAATCTAACTGTTCTTCAACTCACAAAACCTGGTCAATGCTACTCATCATCCTTCTCTTGTGCTACCATCATAGGTTCCTAACTAGTCCCCTGCTTCTAATTTGTCCCTGACTTGCAGGATGTTATCTCCGCTGCAGCCTTATAATACTAATCACATCACATCACTACCATGTTTTGTGTTTTAATCATACTTACAGTTAAATCTCATCAATGACTCTTGAGTGGTCCCTGCCTCTCCTTCAGCCTAATTTGGTATCACTCACTCTGTGGCCAATGATGCTCCAGTCACATGGATCTTTCATTCCTTAACCTTGCCGAGCTCACTCCCACCTTGAGGCTCTTTGCATTTGCTGCTCCCTCTGCTTGGAAGGCTCTTGCGCCTGATCTTTCACGTGGCTGGCTCCTTTCTGTCATTCAAATCACAGCTTAAATGTCATCTCAGAATGACCTTCCCCAACC